AGCGTCCATCTGCCTCTTCTTGAAGGCTGTGGAGATCTGCTATCTCCTCGTGGTCTTGAGATATTATTTTATAACATTTTTCTATCACGTTTGCATAGAAAACCTTTCCTTGCAGCCTTTTTTTAAATTCTGGCTTCATCCATTCGTTCACTAGAAATTTAATGATGCTATTTTTGTTGTTAATCGTGCTCAAGAAAGCCCTGCACTGTCTGACGATTTGAGTGCAGGTTATATTCTGAAGTTGATGACCATCTTCCCCTCCTCGAAGTGATCTCTCACTGTTCTTGATCGAGTTCTCTATGTATGTGTCAAAAACAACATCTATCCTGTCACTGTTCACCCCGGACCTTAGTGCCATTGAAAAAACTGTGTTTGCAATATCTCCAAATGTATTTTGATCACCTTTCACCTTCTGAACTAAGCTCATCCCGTCAATCACTGACGCAGGATTTTCTGGCAGTTGTTCAGCTACAGAAACATTCTTCTGTAATGCTGCTGCTAATGCAGCTTTGTTTGTCTTTCGCAGCATCCCATCTGGTGTGGATAGAGCCCACGGCAACGGTCCTAATGGGTACGAAAGAATACTCTCCATTTGTAGGTTACGACCTTGTGCCATCACAATTATCCGACCAAACAAGGTTCTGTCAGCTTTCAAGATTGCTACGCGTCCACATGATTTCACCTCCCGCTTCTGACTCAAATTGCTGAATGTCTTAAGTCTTTGAGTCTTCATCGGGTCATTGAACTTTTTATCTGGTGGATCTGCCTCCAGCCTTTTTATTTCTAAAGTTTATATAAGCTTCCTCACCAATCTGATAAGCATGCAATAAGTCTGTTGCTATTTCTCTTGGTGCAACCCTGGCAGTTGATATGCTCACATGATCCTGCTTCTCTGCAAAAGGGTTGACCCATTCTTTTACCAAATCGACAACTGCTGACACAGCTTGTTCGTCTTTCTGAATTCTTGGACCTCGCAATTCTGTATGAGGTACACCTGAAGATTTTTCTCCAACCATGTGCCGTAGAAGTCCCAGAAAGGAACTTCGATACTCTGCAGTAATATAGTAGCGTTTTATAGCTGCAGCTTTTAAACTGAATCGAGCTGTTCCACCAGGTGTCTGTGTGTCCTTATTTACGGTGATCTCAGTCGTCTGATCCACGGGTATTCGTCCAAAAGGGTTATTGCCAGAAATTTGCACTGTAAATTGTCCACTTTGGAAGGCCTCATATACACAATGATGACTTTCCCTTAGATTTGTCATCTGAGCAAAATGTGGGAAAGATATCGCGCATAATTCAGTTTATCGTATGCAAAACACTAGGGGATAAGTTTGCGTACAGCGTAGAGATGCAGGTTCCAATTTCCTTCACGCGTCGCACGAAGGAGACCAAGAATAACGTCTTCAACGAAATCAATATATGACATCCAGAATGTAGAAAGTTCCCCATGACTAACACGAAGATGTTCGAGAAATTCTTGCCATAAAAGTACAAGGTCCTGGAATAATTGACTTTGAAGCAGAGCATTTTGATTTTCTTGGTTGATGTCACTTGCCATGTCATTCACTTGATCCAGAAATGTTCTAATGTCAGCAGCCTTGTCTGGATAATTTTTCTCCACCCAAGGTATGAACTCGGACCAAGCCAATCTCAGGAGCGCCTCATAGATACACATGTATTCTAACAGCACGATTGTAATGCTTACCATCCAGGACAACATTTATTGACCCCTCAGCAACTATCCCGGACTCTATGCATATGTCCTTTAAACCGGCATCTCTAAATCGCTTTCCAAGAATCGATAACGCGTTACAAATAGTGTGGAATGTTCCCATTCTAAGCAAAATGTGAGAAAACGCTCTTTGTGTTTCCAAACTATTTCCGTAGCTTTGGCATAAAGTACTTGATCCATTACCACAACTATAGTTTCCAGATGTAGTTCTAGTCTAATCAGTTCTGACTGATTCAAAATTTTAAATACTGTAGACAAATCAGTTGCAGGGGCATTGATTGTAGGTAAGTGTCCAACAACATCCTCCGAGATGAGTTCTTGATCCCTTATACAGATGTTGAACCCAGTCCAACTTGGTACTGACTGATTGCTTGAGTCAGAGAGTCTTGCAAGCACCCATAATAAGTTTTCCTTACTGGCTATTAAGGAAGCCTGCTTTGTTTCCAGGGTTTTATCTGCTGTTGAAAGTGGTTGTGGATCAACTCGTGTACCAGCTATATAGACTTCGAGTTCCTGATCTCCAACAGTCAAAGATCTCTGCTTTTGCTTTTCAATACGCGGCAATTCAACTTGTTGGGGATGTGGGCCATGTATAATAGGCTGTATTGCTATCCCATTTACACGATGAGAGGTGCCCTTTCCTGTCAGAGTTTCTTCCAGTCTATCTATGTTGTCCCATGCCAAATTTGTGAAGACATAGGGCTTTATGGAGGCTGGTATAACAACCCTGCGGTTCAAGCCAGCTGCTAACTTTTGAAGACAAAGTGCTGTGTCATTTTCTTCCAGCTGTGAGTAAGATATACCATGCCCAAGTTTATTTAATATCCGAATGAGCTCAACATTCCCTGTGAGTGTTTTCACTGCGTTTGGCAGAAGAAGGTGTTTCGGTGGCTTGTGTTGGCCACATGATACAGCATAAATGATATCCTGGCTGAAGGACTGGACTAGAGTATTTATTCTTTCTGTTTGATACTTACTCTCAGGGTCTCCAGCTAAAACACCACAGAGAAATCTCTCCAGCGAATTTGGTATGGCGATATAAGCACTTTTCATATCTGCTGGATGCAATGGCCAAGGTGTCGACTTCATTTCTTCCTTTATGATCGATCTGATGTGAGACGACGCCTTATCTGTTGTTCTATTGATGTCAGTAGATTTTGTTTTCCAAATCCTCAGCTCTCTCTGAAGATTTTGATTTTCCACAAGACGAAAGACCACCTTTAAGCAATCGCTTAATGTTAGCTTAATGGTGACTTAATGGTGGCTTAAAGAAGTTAATTCCTTTAAGCCACCATTAAGCCACCATTAAGCTGCAACTTACAGGTGCTTAATGTCCAAACTTCATTAAGCTACCATTAAGCCACCATTAAGCTGAGCTTAATGATGACTTAATGGTCAATCCTCATTAAACTTTTACGCATCTTATATAGAATCTTTGAACTAACTTTTAGTTATTTTAATATCATTTACGCAAAATCTATTCCAACTCATAATTCTGTCTCGATCATAATTTCTACGAGTTTTTTGTCAACATGCTTAATCTTGATCACTGGGAACAAAGTTAGCTAATAGCCACAGGGGCTTGCTCTAGGTGTCTAATTTTTTCTTAAAATCATTTACAGTGATAATAAAACAAGACATCCTGTATCAGAACCGTATATTATTTTTTTTAAATAAATCATTATTACATGCGTTGTTTTTATTATTAGTGTATATGATTTTTAAAAATAAATAATTATTACACACCGTGAGCAAGTCCTTGTGAAATATCTTAAATTTACAATACCAAAAATCAATTTGTTCTTAAAATTATCTACATTGATGAACACAAAATATATATTACTTTTTAAAAACAAAATGGTATTTTTATTTCATGTGTTAAAAGAAACATTCCGCTACAGAATTCACAGGAAGATATAATCTCATGAAAAAAAAATCTCTGTCCTTTTTTTCGGGGGGGGGGGGGGGGTGGCTACTGGTATACAAATGTTTAGTTTTAAAAGATTTACTTTTACCATGAAAAAACTTTTTAATGGCTTTTACATCATAAATAATTCTAATTAATTCGTTATTTTTTTTTTAATAATGCAGCGGTAAGTATCTGTCAAAATCTAGTCGGTCTTCAATGATTGTTATTTCAAAATTGATTTTCAGAGGAACGGCCGATCAGACTAAACATGACATCCGACCAGATGTATACACATTGAGAAACGGGGTAAGATTAACAGATGATCAGTGTACAGTAAACCGACTGGTCAGACAATAGATCTTAATTAGGTGTCCACCGTCCTTGGTCAACTAACAGGAAACTACACATACACAACGTACACTGACAGATTTTAATGATCAATTATTTTTTAAAAATTTAAATTTAACGCAAGCATATAACAAATTAAAAATTATGATTCATCGTAAAAAGTCAATTATTTTGATACCCATTATGATACAAAAAGAATTGAAACTGAATATGATATTCTAAAAAAAGTTTTTGTAAACGTAATTAACCAGGTAACTCTTCCGCGAGGATTGTCACTAAATTGTTGACACAGAAACCGTTAATATCCGCAGTATATCAAAAATAATAGTAGAATCTGTTTTTCCTCTTTCTTTTTCGATGATAGACTTTTGTGTTTTATCTATAATTAATTTATTTTCAATCATGATTTAATGCTAACATTTCGAAAATTTTCGAATAACAGAGCGAAGAACTCAATCATATTACATCAATCTAAAAGCCGAACTCAGTGTAGAAATATATATTAATGTGTTAAGATCCACAAATAAAATTGTTTATATTTTGATTAATAAATCAATTCAAGACTTTTGGAAATGTTCAACAAAATACTAGTAAATACCTTTACAAGTCCAAACAAATTTTGAAAAAAATAAAGGTTAAATATTTAATATTTTCCTTTTATTATGAAGAGCGGCGATAGCCTAATGGATAAGGCGTTTGCCTTGCAACCCTAAGATCAGGGGATCGCGCCCCGACTGTGGCGTGTTTTTTTTTTTTTCTTTTGAATTGAATTTCGTTCTTTTTCATTATTTTTACCAAATCAAGATATAAGCGAACTCTACATTTATAATATTGATAACAAATCACTATAAAAATAATTTTTCACCCATATAAACAATATTATGGACTGCGTAATGTGGCTTAATGGTGGCTTAATGGTAGCTTAATGGTAGCTTAATGGAGTTTGGACATTAAGCACCTGTAAACCATTAAACCACCATTAAGGACCTATAAGCCACCATTAAGCCGGACTTAAAGGGTGTGTTTCATCTTGTGTTCTACAACAACGTCCCTCAATAAAACACCTTCAGGAAACATGAGAAGCTTTCCTTTGTTGTCTGGCAAAATATCAACTGATTCGCCAAGCTCCGTCTCCAGTTTTCTTCGAATATGTTTCCTTGTTGTGTCTTGCATATGCTGAACTCCTAAGGACAGCATAATAGATTCTAGCTTTTCTGTCAAAAACGTAACGGGTACAATACTTTTGCTATCAAGAACATCACTTCTGATAAATTCAAATAGTTTCTCATATGCCTCTCTTACAATTTTTTGATATTGTTCATCTCCATCAGATTCAGTGTTTGTTTGATCTGTATCTTTCAGTTCAGATTTCTTGACTTTGGTGTACTCCTTGTAGCAAGAAATATGATAATGAGCTTCAGCAGCAACGATATCCCTACTTGTAACTGCAATGATTTTGTCATCACCTCTCTGAATAGCACATTCTCGTAATGTTTTGTCTGCTCGCAGCTGTACTGCTTGGACAAGTTTTTCTCGTGATTGAATGTTCTTAACCCGTTTCTCTTGGTCACAAAAAATACATTTCTGTTCATACACTCTTGCCTCTGTCGATGATTTTCTGCTTGATCTTTTTGATGTTCTTCCTGTAATGTAATGGCACACCTTGCTGATAATTTAATTTATATATATAAACTTACTAAAGCTAAATATACTGAAAAAGAAAAAAAAAATAACATTAGACATTTAAGCATCCATGCAATATGTTATGTTGACTTAGTGGATATATTTTAAACTTTCCCGCCTTTTACCGCTACTTCCTGCCTCGTCAGATGGGCTTTCTTCTGCTTTCCTTTTCAAAGTATCCAAATCCTCTTCATGGTGAAGAGGCTTCGGCATTTTCGATGATGGTATATTTTAGGAATTTCCTTTTCTTCGAGTTTTTCTGAAAGTTTTAAAACTGGTTCATGATTTCTAATTCTAGCAGCTTCTAACAATGTAAGCCATGATTCATAGTTTACAGGACTTATTAAGTGTTCATCATCATCTATTGATTTGTTCATGTGAATAATGCATCTGGATTTGTTCTCGGCCATGTTATCACTTCATCAAACCTGTAAAAAAGCATATTTCATTTGTGACACATGAAAAATAGAGATTATTAGGATACTGTTTTAGAATATGTTATACCCTTTTGACCTTATGACATATTGACTTGATGGGTCTGTTTCACACATCCTTTGTCAAAAGTACCCAACTGTTCTTAATCAAAAATCTATAATAGTATAATCTCTATGTAAAGTAAAGAATGTACGCACAGAGTAAATCAAGGGAATTTTTCTTCAATTTTCATTTTTAGGGTAGGGATAAAAATTTGATTTGAAATCAAGTATATATATTTGTTACTGAAACAATGTTTTTAAATGTTAATAATTGAATACAATTCTTTAAATGAAATGACCATGCAATATGTTTTGATGTGAAAATTGTCACAGTAGTAATTTCTTTCTGCTTATTAAAATTTCAAAACTGCATATTCCACTTCTTTAAATCAATGGTAGACTTATATTATAATATAGTTTACAGGACTCATTACAGGGCCAATATTGAAAAATAATTGGACAGGGTAATAGCATGGTCTGCATTCAAAAGAATTTTCAATAAAAAACCATTCGAAAGAAGATGTAAATTGCGTATTGAAAACCACACCCTTTTCTTTCACAGACACAAATGAAAGAACGAAGAATTTGGGTTGATGTATATAAACAGTTGATACACTATTAAAGCCACAATCAATTGAATGCTATCATACATTTTCTGAAGGTAGAGATGTTTATCCTTCAAAAAATAACTATGAAAATTATTCACCCAAGATGGTACCGATACCGAAAAATTCATGGCCTGGCTCATGGACTATATACGTTGTATAATTTGTTGGACTCGAGACGCATCATCTCTTAAAACACTTATTCATTTCACCAAGAATTACCGTGGCACTATTTGACCAAAGTTTGCTTTAATTTGATCTGTCGGTTGCTATGTTTTCTTTTGCCAGTGTGTTTGGTTTTGCTGACCTAAGGACGAGGAGTCTCGTTGATGTGAAAAGAAAAGTGAGGTTTTTAAACGCATTTATTTATTTCTTTAAAATTTGATCATTTTCTTACTCTATATAGTACATAATATGCAGTTTTTTAAAATGAAATATTATTTTCATCTACGGGTTAACTGATCAATGATACATGTAATAAAATATATATGGAAACAAGGAACAGAACCCAAGGAAAGAAGTCCATAAAACAATTCAAAAAAGAAGCAGAGCAAACGGACCTCCAAAACAAGAGAGTTGATGACTTTTAAACGAGACTGCTGATGTTCTTGTTCATCAACTTGTTTGTCAAATTGAGTCTTATCTGTTGTATGGCTGCGAGAGCTGGACTCGAACAGTAGCACCGGAGAAGTCATTAGGTGGACCCTATACACGCATGCTTGGTTTAAGACATTTACTGGCTAAGCCATACCCCCGACGACGTCGTATATGGTAACCTCCCTACAGTCATTGACAAAATAGCCTCCAGGAGAATGCAGCTAGCTGGGCATTGCTTCCGTCATCCAGAACTCCGCGCACAATCATTAGAAATGTGGGAGCCAAATCACGAGCATCGTGGAAGAGGAAGACCCAAGCCCATCTTTTTGGACACACTCAAACGTGACACAGATGCAAGGGATGCATGCAGAGAGGACGAGGTGGGCTGAAAATAAATTATTCCTTTGAAATCTGCTCCATTATATTAATCACTTATCATAATCAATGGCATCTTTTTCCCAAAATGTGAAATGTTTGGACCTAGGGTCATGTTTTTAAGGGTGGGGCTCTACTAATTATTGCTGAATATTACTGACTAGATGAAATGCATTTATCTGTTCCCCTACTCTGTCTATGGGTATTACATAGCCAAAATTAGCATGCTAAGTATTTAGTTATGATGAGCAATGGTGCCTATTTAAAAATGTGAATGACATGGCCTCTGGTTTAAAATATGAACGAAATTTTATTGTTGCATGACGCTTAGGTGACCTTTAAGGCCCATGGGTCTCTGTTTAATGTTGTAAGCTCATTATTGCAAGGGAGTGTGCAAAATAATGATTTAGGCTCGCCCGTTGCAGATATGAGACATCATTCCAAAATAAACATTCAATGCATGCTTATATCTACTTTTTTTTTTACCCCTGGTCTTGTTTTGTAAATTTTATTCATTTATTTATTTTATTAAATATAAATATAAAAAATTATATAAAAAGTTTTTTATTTCTTTCCATGCATATTCCATCCATATATAATAATTACATCATAATTGTTTAAATATTCACTATTTTTCAAACTGTAAATTGGAGGTCTTTCATAACAAATTGTTTAATTAAAAACATCTCTCTTTTCAAACCTGCTCTCACTGAGCAACAGAACAAATATTATTTTAAATCATCCCCCTTCCTTCACTAAACCAAAAGACTCTGTCGAGAATGAAGCTCTACTTGTTTGTACATGTACTTGTAACAAATGAAGACAAAAGTAGCAGTTGGGACTTGAAACTTTACAACAGCAATAAATAGAATAATGATGCTTGATTGAGCTCTTTTTGTGGCAAGATAATGAATAAGAATACAGCTGTAGGAGAAGCTGTTAATCAACTTTTAGAGTATTTCCAATATTAGTAACCATGGCAACATCGTTCATCGAAATCAAAAATCGATATACAGTATTATGTATCTTCGTGTAGTCTACTCGTGTGCCAAGTTATATTGAAATATTTACATTTCCAATGTCTTTGTCCGAGATAAAATTACCAAATGTAAATGTACTTTATTTCTCCATCAATGTATTGGCGCGGTTCCAAAAAATCCACGTGCAGGGCGGGACAAACAGCTAGACAGAAGCAGGGCTTGGAGCACGTGGACTCGCGGAATCAAAGCATGTAAATATAAGGAATAACTGTCAGATTTTTCAATTTCATGAAGATGATCAATCGATTGGCTTGCGTGTTCGGCGTTTATGCAAATTATCACGCAAGCCAATCGATTGATCACTTCATGAAATCGAAAAATAAGACAGTTATTCCTTAAATCAAACAAAACTGTAGGAGGAGTAGCATTTTGAAAGTATTTCATAGAAATTTCTATTTTTAGTAACCACGTCAACACCGTTCATCGAAATCGAAAACTGACATCAAGAATTATGTATCTAAGTGTAGTCGGCTTGAGTGCCAAGTTATATTGAAATCCGACCAAAACTGTAGGAGGAGTAGCATTTTGAAAGTATTTCACAGAAATTTCTATTCTTAGTAGCCACGGCAACACCGTTCATTGAAATCAAAAATCGATATACAGAATTATGTATCTTAGTGAAATCTACTTATGTGCCAAGTTATACTGAAATTAGACCAAAGCTGTAGGAGGAGTAGCATTTTTGAAAGTATTTCACAGAATTTTCTATTTTTAGTAGCCACGGCAACACCGTTCATTGAAATCAAAAATCGATATACAGAATTATGTATATTAGTGTAGTCTACTTCTATGCCAAGTTATACTGAAACCAGATTAAAAACGTAGGAGGAGTATCATTTTGAAAGTAATATCAGAGAAATTTCTATTTTTAGTAACCAAGGCAACACCGTTCATTGAAATCAAAAATCGATAAATAGAATTATGTATCTTAGTGTAGTCTGCTTGTGTGCCAAATTATATTGATATCAGACCAAAACTGTAGGAGGAGTAGCATTTTGAAAAAAAATGTTTACAGACAGACAGATGGACGCCGGACGCATTCCTATCGCATAACCTCTTCTGGTCTCTGACCAGTAGAGCTAAAAGCTATCAATCCAATCATTGATTATATTTCTATCAAGTCTTTTGTCTTAATTAACTGTGAACAAATTATTATACGCTACTGAAAAGGAATTTCCAAGATATACATGTACCAAAAATTTTACAGACGTTCGTTGAACGAGTTCAACTGAGACAATCATTGTTGTCACAAGTGATCTTCTTATTGACATCATTTTTTAATTGTGACGTCACAAACACGGAGCAAAATATGCTTTTTATAGAACTTGTGTATGGCTATGTGTGTACCCATTTTTATTGCAGCCCGGAGCTGCTCTATACATAGAAGTTTAAGTGTTGGTGTATGGGGCTTGAGACGGGAGAAGTTATTCAGAGGTAAAGATTTTCTCATCTTCCCAAGTCAAGAGTTTCTGATCCGCTCCGCTCCACACAAACCCTTGACCGAATAGGCTAATTTTGACGGGGTTTACTGTCACGCCATCTAGTGAGATTACATATTTTGAACTCTCCTGGGGCCCACTCGATTGGGACCCTTCTAGAAGCAGAGGGGAATGTTGGAAGGGTTGGAATATGTATGTCTAAATCGAGTGTTCAGGAGGATATTGAATAGGATGGAATATTATCTGCAATGTTTTGAATTACTGCAGTTGTTGAATTTCAAGAATTTGAATCCGTTTTTTAAAGCATTAATTTAGTTCGAAAGGGAAACTTGAGATAATTAAGAGTGGAAAAATTAATTTAATATAATAGCATTGGGATTTTTTTTTATTTAAGTAAAGAAAGATTTTAAACATCAAGTGTCTGAGACAGAAGAATATTAAACAGCATGTAAAAAAAAAAATAAGATACCGGTAATTATGGTCAAATCAGGGACCTATTAACGGCTCAAATCTGCACCCCATATTACATGGTACATGTAAATTATGAAACTGTGTTCAATGCTTGATTTTACTGCAATTACATAACAGAAAAAATGCATCTTAACAGAACTACCCTTCATACATGATAAAAATACTTTTTTGCAACTGTATTTTGTTTTAAGTTTGGTTTATTTACAATAATAAAAATCCCCAAGTTTTCACCAAACCGCTTGACGCCATATAAGAATGCTATCCTTCAGCTATCCTTCCATCCCTGACGTGGAAGGCTGAGAAGGTCTTCTAAGTCTACCCTACCAAACCAATCGAGCAGACAGAATGGTTATTCTGGAATAAGAAGGGTCCCAATCGAGTGGGCCCCTGACCTCTGCTGTTATCCAATCAGAGTAAACGAATTCAAAAGCCAATTCGAGATGATATTGGTAAGCGGTAATAAATTCAATATAACTCAAAAAACTGAGACAAACCTTTAAAAGGGCTATCTAATGAAAAATACACGTTATCCTTGGGACTAAAACTGACGTGTTTTTCTGTTTACGATGTAGTTTCAGTTTAAATAAAACAATGATTTTGATTGGTTCATGCAAAATTGCATGAGGCCATTCAGAGAACGCATTTCTAACCCCGTCAAACTTAGCCTATTCGGTCAAGGGTTTATGTGGAGTGGAGCGGATCAGAAACTCTTTACTGGGGAAGATGAGGTTTTCTAAACATTAAAAAGATTGTTAATCAGAATGTTCTTTCCCTTTATAAATTACCAGCAGGCGCGGATCCAAAAAAAATTTTTCCAGGGGGGTCCACCCCAGCCCCCCAAAAATCCAATCCCAGAAACTTCTTGACAAGCAAAAACAAAACAAAACCAAGAAATAAAAACCTGAACTCGCCCAAACGTCAAAAACCTATTTCGTAGGGGGGGAGGGGGGGGGTGTAAGTCTTTCACTTCTATTACCTCAAATCTATCACTTTTCATATCAAATTCACACATATTTGCGTTTACCAGCGAGGCGTTTCCTTTTTTCTAAGGGGGTCCATTGTAACTTTTTTCTTGCTTTATTATATACATTAACCTTGTAAATTCAAATGGGGGTCCTGCCCCCCCCCCCCCCCCCCCCCCCCCCCCCTAGATCCGCGCATGACCAGATACATAATACATTTACTTCTACA